ACGTATTAAAACCAACTCACAGAGACATACTGTAATCTAAAAGTGAATTTAGTAATTTTCAAATTCAACAGTCAGAATAACAAAATATAAGTGCATCTACTGTAACAAACCACTGTAAAGCAGGAAATTTTACTTTTCTGCAAATAAACTTTGTAAGAAAGCATGTCAAACCACTTTTTTGTCTAGCAGTTGTAAATTACAACTTTTTACACAAAGAAGCACAGAAGCATATTACTGTTTGTGAAATATTTCACTGATACCGAGTTAGTAATTCTGAACATTATATTAAGAAATTTCTCCTGGGAACCAAATTTATTGAGTTTATAGAAGCATAAGAAATAGCTGCTATAGCAAAAGAAAAAAATTAAGTATCTAGTCATAAAAGCCAACATTCTCATTAAAATTAAGTTTAGAACTGTTCCAAACAGTATTTCCATCAATCAAGTAAAAAACAGTACAAAACAATTAAGATAAAAACATGTTATATAAGCTGTAGGAAAAAAAAAACACAGTACCCTTCTATAGTTAATATGAAGTAATTAAAGACCACAATGGCTATTTGGGTGAGAAAATATAAGGAATAACAGGACTGTAAGGTTATCTCCTGCCTAAAAAATAAAGTCCCTAGAGATAATCAGGAGAATGGAAATGGTCCAATCAGAGCCATAACAAGAAAGGGGAGATCATGTTTTGCTAGGAAGGGAAATTTAGAGGATGTTAATAATACTATCACATTACATTCAACACCACACACGAACACCCACCCTCACCCCTTCACCCCCGCCCCCACACACACACCCCACAAGCTCCCCAGAGGTGAACTCTTCCCTGGGCTCTAGAAAATGGACAGTCCATCAACAATGTACATATTCTGTGGAATCCAGGCTACCTAGGCAAACCACCACACACACCTGCTACAGACACAAAAAATGCTACTTAACACCTGTACCCCAAAACACTGACTCCTCTTCAAGTGCTGAAATGCTCCCTCGCCGGCCTTCAAACTTTAAATACAGTTGACGCAGCAGTAAACAACTGACAAGTGACTTTTCTGAAAGCTAAATTACCACACTACAATGTAATCAGCACTGGAAAAAAAATGGTACATGACTTTTTATCACTCTAAACTTCACCGTGTTCAAATCCAGCCTCACACACATACCATGCACTAGCTGTGTGACTCTGGGCAAGTCACTTAACCCCACTGCTAGCCCACCCCACCCCACCAAAAAAACTTCACTGTGGTAGCAGTAAAATAATGTCAGAGTTTAGGTGGACTCCTCACAGCAGAGTACCTTCTCCAACTTACTCTCTGACATGTTATATATATATCATGCTCACCGGTAAAAAACATATTTTATTTGAGTAAAGATTTTCACTGTTTTCCAAATACAGGAAATATCGGAAACTTGAAGGCAAGGCACAATTTATTAAAAAATGTTTTCAAAATACCATAAACTATGGGGGGGGGGGGTTTGAGACATAGGAAGGGAGGATGGATTTATTAAGTTCCTACAAGGTGCAAGGCACCATATTGATACTCACAGCAACCCTGGGAGGTAGGTGACACTACTATTCTCATTTTACAGATAAAGAAACTGAGACAGAAAGAGGCTAAGTGACTTGCCCAGGGTCACATGGCCAGTAAGTGTCTGAGGACAGACATGAACTTAGGTCTTCCTGACTCCAAGCCCAGTGGCTCTATCTACTGCACCACCACATTACCTCTAATTATACTGTACCACCTAGCTGCCATATATCACAATGAACTCCAAATGGATATATGACCTAAATATAAAAGTTCATATTATTAAAAAATTAGAGAAGGGAATTAGAAGTGATCACAAAAAATAAAATGTCCAAATTTTACTCGGCCATTTTCATAAAATTAAAAGATTTTTACACAAAATTAATGCAATTGGAATTAGAAAGTAAATGAGAAAATATCTTTGCAACAAATATCTGATAAAGGTATGATAATTCAAGATACATAGAGAATTGAGAGAAATATTATTAAAAACAAGATTAACTGCCCAATGGTTAAGTGGACAAAGGATGTAAATAGACAGTTTTCAAATGTGAAAATGTAAACTATCAACAACCACATAAAAATGCTCCAAATCACTAATTAGGGTAATTCAAATTTTAAAACCTTTTAAGGTTCTGCCACATAAACATCAGACTGGCAAAGATAACAAAAAAGGAAAATTCCAAACGTTGGAAGAGCTGTGGTGGTCAGGCATACTTGTACACTGTTGGTAAAGCTGTGAACTGATAACAATTCTGGAAAGCAATTTGGAACTACACCTAAGAAATCACTAGAATGCAATCACTCTTCTGACTCCATACTATCACTACTAAGCATGTACCCCAAGGTACATGTTACAAGGCACGTGTACAAAAAAAAATGTTATAACTATTTTTGATTGCAGCAAAGAAGTGGAAACAAATGGGTACACAGAAACAAAGTAGGATCATAGATTTCAGAGCTGGTAAGGACCTTAGTTAGAGGCCATGTAGTCCAACTTCCTCATTTTTCAGATGAGGAAACTAAGGTAAACAGAGAGGTTGCTTGAATTGCCCAGGATCACACAGCTAGTAGGTCTGAGGTGGAATGTGATATCATGTCTATCTGACTTAGATAAATAGCTCATTACACCGAAATAAATGACAAATATGAAGGATTTAGAGAAACTTGTAAAGACCTGTATGAAATGATGTTAAGTAAAATAAGAAGAATCAGAACAATTTACACAATTACCACAATAAGAGAGAGGGGGAAAATATCTTTTGAAAAAAGACTTCAGAACTCTGATATGACACTGTGACCAATCATGACTTCAGGAGACTAACAAAGCAGCATGTTCCCTGCTTCCTAGCAGAAGGGTAATAAACTAGAGGTGAAGGATTTTTGTTGTTGTTCAGTCTTTCAGTCATGTCCCACTCTGTGTGACCCCTTTCGGGGTTTTCTTGGCAAAGATACTGGGGTGATTTTCTATTTTCTTCACCAGCTCATTTTACAGATGAGGAAGCTGAGGCAAACAGGGTTAAGTGACTTGCCCAGGGTCACACAGCTAGGAAGTGTCTGAGGTCAGATCTGAATTCAGGATGAGTCTTCCTGACTTCAGGCCCAGCACCCTGCACCACCTCACCGCCCCAGATGTGAAGGATACATTTTCCAAACTAGGACTCTGTGCTGATTTGTTTTCCTTGACTAAACTTAACTGTCATAAGGGAAAGTTTCTATTGGGTAGGGATGAGATGGTACAATGGTTCTCAAATTGTAGTCTGGGGACCCTTGGGAGTCCTAAGACTCTTTGGGGGTACTCAAGGTCAAAACTATTCTCATAATAATACTAAGTTGCTTTAACTTCTAATATGCTGTTAGATATAACCCACATAAACAGAAGTTCTTTGGAATCCTCAATTTCTACGAGTGTGAAAAGATCTTGAGATCAAAAAATAGAATAATCACTGAGTTGGTGGTAGTGACTGAGATGCAAATAAAAAAATGTCAACATAAAGCATGTAAAAATACATAACTAAAAACAAAAATTCTAAAGAGACAAAAGAGGACAATTTTATTACAATTTCATTATATTTCATGTACAATTTTTAAAAACAAACTATATACATTATAAAGAGTGTTAGATTTGGTGTTAAAGGGCCTTGGTTTAAAATCCCAAGTCTATAAATTACTTGCATGACGCTACACAAGTCACTTAGCTCTTGAGATTAAAAAGTTACATCTTCCTTCTTCTCCAGACTCTACTGCTGACTCTCCAGACTTTTCTCACCATTGCACAGAATGCAAGTTCTCTCAGCCCTTGGCCTTCTCATTCTGGAAGTTCACCCTACTACCTTGCAATCTCTTCTTCTAACTAGTCAGCCCCTCCCTGAACTTCCATTTTATACCAACCTTCTCCAAACCACACACTTTTCAGGTTCCTTTTATGTCTTGTCCTTCCTCATTAGAATGTAAGCTCCACAAGGGGAGGGACTGTTTTTTTGCTCGTGTTTGTATTCCCAGTGTTCAGCACAGAGCCTTTCACACGGTTGGGGCTTAAATAAATGCTTGCTGATTTGGTTGTTGTTGTCGAATTATAAGTGCTGCCAACATTTTTTACGATAAGGTCATGGGGAAATGTCAGAGTGTTCCCCAAGTATGTATCTGATGTGTCAAGACAAAATACATTAATCTCTCTTTTTTTTTTTAATGAAAGCAATGGACTAAATTCTAAGATCCCTTCCAGGTAGAATCTATGATCCATGACAATATGGACCCAAATATGACTTATGTCCAGAGGAATTTAAGAAAGCCATTAACTTCTAAGGCAGGATAAAGGGGTATGGGGGGGAGGAGGAGGAAATAGCTTGAATATAAAATATAGAATTATAGCTAAAAATAATAGCTAACCATTATAATAGCATTTATATAGCACTTTAAGGTTTGAAAAGTGCTTTACAAACAACTCTTTTGATCCTCACAAAAACTCTGGGAGATCAATGTTATTATTAACCCCCGTTTAAAGAAGAGGAAAGTGAAGCAGAGACGAAGTGATTTGTCCAGGGTCACATAGCTAGTAGGTATCTGAGGCTAGATTTAAACTCAGGTAGTCCTATGTCTAGGTCAAGTCCTTTAATTGCATCATCTAGCTACCTAGGTTTGGTTTGGTTTTGCTTTTTCTTTTAAATAAAAAAAGATATAGCAATAAATGCTGTCATTTAAGGCTCTATTACACACCTTGGACTACAGAGAGGGGGAGTACAGCCAGAAAAGGAAGAAACTCAATACAAAAACCTTCACAATTTATAGCTCAACTTTTAAAAAGAAATGCATGTCCCCACATCAAGAATTATATGGTTTAATCAATTTTGAAAACCTTCATAATTACAGTGAGTTGTGAACTTTTAAATGAATACTTCCCTAAAGTTACACTATGCACACTATACCATTTGTAACAAGTTAGGGAAGAAAAAAAGATCAAGCAATTCCTTACCTGCAGCTCCTTTGAGACTCTCTCTAAGTGGTTAGTTATCTTTTTAATCAGATCACTATACATCTGTTCCGAATGCTGCTGGCATACACATTTATACACACAGCTGCAGAAAAACAAAAAAGATACAGTAAGGCACTTGCAGTAACTTAAACTTAAAGCAACTATGCAAATGGACTGTAACCAAAAGAATTGAAACTTTAAAAAATTGGCCCCTAATAGCTTTTTGTCCTTTGCCTTCAAGCAACTTTCAACTACACTAAAACTGTTTCTAAATTATCACTTGTAAAAAATGTTGGCTACTGTGCATAATCAAATTGAGGGAGGAAGGGGATCTAAATCTGTGACTGTCACTATGAGGCTTGATACTTTCGCCTTTCAAGAGTACCAGAACAGCATCTGTGATTGGTAGAGGATATTAACCATTACAATAGCAATCCTCACATTACAAACTTTTGGAACACAGCATGATCTTAAAATGTTTGTTTCCAAAGAAAAATATGCTTAAGTTCAAACAAGCAGTTACAAATGCTAGGAATCGCTGTTGCAAAATTAATCGTCCATTCTCCCCAAAACCCATTTTAACCAATATGCAGCTTAAAAGTTACCATATTTTTATGCTTGACAAATTGTGTAGCTGTTTGAGGAAGCAGTGGTTGTCACAGAAGAACCACCGGCTCTGGACTTCAGTTATTGCTGTTCAGTCTTTCAGTCATGTCTCACTCTTTGTGACTCCATTTGGGGTTTTCTTGGCAAAGATACTGGAGTGGTTTTCATTTCCTTCTCCAGTTCATTTTATACAGACAAGGAACTGAGGCAAACAGGGTTAAGTGATTTGCCCAGGATCACACAGCTAGTTAGTGTCTAAGGCCAGATCTGAACTCATGAAGATGAGTATGTAATATTTATGCATTAACAATTTATTTTTGTAGTTTTTCTATCACTATCAGCTATCACGGTTGCTAGAAATACCTATTGTCCATCACCTCCATTACCCCACCATTCTAATTTACTGCTTCTAAATTGTAAAAAGTCAAGAAACCAGACTATATGCAACTCTAACAAGTATCGTTGGGAATGGTCAACAGAATTAGAACAAACTTTTTTTTGTTTTGTTTTGTTTTTTGGTGAAGCAATCGTGATTAAGTGACTTGCCCAAGGTCACACAGCTAGTACGTGTCAAGTGTTTGGTCTGAGGCCACATTTGAACTCAGGTCCTCCTGACTTCAGGGCCGGTGCTCTATCCACTGCGCCACCTAGCTGCCCTAGAACAAACTTTTTTCATGGGCAGAAAAACACATACTCATAATTTCTAGTACTGGATTTTTCCAAAACTGAATGCATGATCGTTTTCCCTTCCACTCATGCCCCCTCACCCCAATTTCACGTTTAGTTTTAACAACAGTATTATTCCCCAAGGTTAAAAACTCAGAATCACCTGCCTCTTCTCTTCTTAATCCCCTACATAAAATCAGTAGACAAATCCTTTCAATTCAACCTCACCAACAGTTATCCCAACTATTTCTTTCCTTTTATTTTAGCTGCCTCCAACCTAATATATGCCCTTATATTATCTTAGGAAAATGGAGAAAATTTCTAGTACCCTTTCCTCCCACCACTCACTTTTCTAATCCATCCTCCACTCCCTGACAAAGTAGTTGGATCACCTCAGTCCTCAACTCAAAAGACTCTTGACGCTTTGGGAAGTTCCCCACCGCCTAACAGACAAAATACAAACTTTTCAGTCTGAAATTTAAAATCCTCCATAACTTGAGTCCAACCAGTCTTATTTCACACTCTACCCCTTTACACAGTCTACTTCAAGCTGGATTACTCACCATTCTCTAATCTCAATCTGCTCATAACTTCTGTACATTTGTATGTGTGATTCACCCTATGCCTAAAATGCCTAATCTTCAGTTGTTGAAATTCTTCCATCGCTGCAAATACCTGCTCCGATAAAAACTCCACCATGAAGTTTTCCCTGATCCCTCAACTAGAAACGAGCTACTTCACTTAAATTTCTTATGCCAATCTGTATGTGCCCCTCCTACATTCAAATGTTTATTGTGTTCAGGTTATATACCCCTTAATATATTATAAGCTCCTTGCTGGAAGGGGCTATGTTGGATTTTCATCTTTGTACCACCTTAAGCATAGAAATTAGTTGCTTAGTAAATATCTGTTTAATTGAATGGGCTTGTGGCAGCTATTCTTGTGAGTTCTTTTTTTACTCATATCTATGCTCTGAACAACATTCTAGATGGTTGAAATGGGAGGACAGGGGAGGGGAGCTGATTTCCAAATAAAATGGATATTACTTTACTTCAATATCTGTAAAACATTTGCAAAGTGAAAAGTACCTATTGAATTTTTCATCCATCTTGTTTTTAAACTAGCTCTATTATACAACATGAGCTGTTATACAACATGCGCCGTGGCTATAAAGCAATCTTTCTTTCTCAAGTCACTCAGAATCTTAGAAGTTGCTAGGTTCTGACTGCCTAACTTGCTAGGAAGGTGCCTTGACATCAACTATGCTAGGTACTTCTACAAAGAATTACAGCTTTCCCTAATTTCACATGAGAACTGAACATAAAGACATTAAAAGGGACCTAGTATGGGTCTCACTAAGGAAGAAGGTAAGTAATTTTTGTAAAAGACAATAAATCTTTGGAAAATGAATATAATCAGAAAGTAATTAGCAAGAACACAGGCTGAAAGAGAACAATTTCTGGCAACTATCGTTGCCAGCTATATAAGAAAGTGATTTTATAGCTGAACTAGCAGCAGTTTGGAAGCAAGGTTATGTTGGAGAGAAGACTAGTGCTGGACTGGTGAGAATGAATTGAGATTCTTGGCAGGTGACTAGATCCAAATTGTAATACTTAGCTTCATGGTGAGCTCCTGGAGGGCTGGGACTGTCTTTTCCCCTTTTTTGTATCTGTACAGTTTAGCACAGGGACAAAGCAGGTGATTAATTGTTTACTGACTAATCGACTTTCATCTAGAGTCTCTCCGAACTCCTACTCTTTGTCTTTGTCTGCCACATTGCCACCCTGAGAAACTTTGCTTGTGGAGTCGGTCCCCCTCCTCATCAGTCTCCTGATCGGTACGCCCATTTGAGGAAGAATTCTAGCCATGCTTCACTTCATTCCTGCCCAAAGTCTCTCCAAGACTTCCTGTCTGCAGCATTACTACACTTGGACAAACCCTTCTTCCTTTTTCTCAGTCCCACCTATGTGTTGTCTTCTCCCATCAGGATATAAGGTCCTTGGGACAGCCAGGTGGCGCAATGGATAGAGCACCTACCCTGGGGTCAGGAGGACCTGAGTTCAAATCCTGCCTCAGACACATGATACTCACTAGCTGTGTGACCCTGGGCAAGTCACTTTACCCCAACCGCCTCACCAAAAAATAAAAAAATAAGATCCCTGAGAGCTGCAACTCTCCTGTTGCTTGTATTTGTTTCACCAACCCCTAGCACAGTACCTGGCACATAGCAACACTTTTACTATCTATCTACACTAAGATTATGCAAGGCTAATCAGATGCACATTTCACACATTTTAGATAGAAGAATGTCCACAACAGCTACTCCTATAAACTTGGGAATAAAGAACCTGCTTCTTGTACCCTTCAGGGTTAGAAAGAAACCAGCTTCCTCATAACAGAAAAATTATTGTCAGCCACCAGATAATTCACTGCAAAGGGCAGTAAGATTTTAAAGGGCTTCACAAGCAGAGAGAGGAACTATGATCTCTGCAAAGGAAGTAGGGCTAGGAAAAAAAGGGAAGGATGAAACTCGGTTGAAGTAGAATTTTGACAACACCTTCGAGAAAGACTTTGGGTGAGTACCGGAAATAACTTTGTGGCTTGTGGAAATGACCTAATACACTACATGTATACATTAAAAATTAAGTCACATTTAAATTGCAATTGGACCAATAAATGCAACATGGTTAAAAAAAAGTTCAGTCCTTTAAAGATGGTCTTACCTGTATATCTGTTCATATGATATAGGGATATAGTCACCAGGACTTTGAGTTAAAAGCTGATCTATGGCACCATCCAATTTTGGCCAGTATGTGCTCTTATAATCTTCAATAGTTATAACATTCATTACTAAAAATACAAAAAAAAAATCATTTTCATCTACTGCATTTAAAATTGTAAAACAATTTCATTATAATACTTTTTTCTGACCTACTTTTACACTTGTACTCTATCCCCACTTTCACACTTGTACTCTATCAATTCATCATGGCTCCATTCCTAATTGGTACCTCATTTCAACAGAAAAGGAAAATTGCCCAGTGATTTAAAATAGCCATCAATCATGCCTTGAAAAGAATTAACATCTTGGAAATTAAACAGTTCATCTTTGACTACGAAAGTATTTGGCAAATTCAGCTGATATCACCAGTTTCTCTTGCTCCTTTTCGTAAAGCTTCAGATACCATTAAAACATTCTCAAAGTCTGGTTCATAATGCACTCACTGCCATTATAAAGGCAAAGGGCCTATGATAATTTAAAGACATAGTCTTGATAACTTTAGTGATAGTCTTCAAGAATCCTGTGAGATCTGTGACACTGTCTAAAGCAAATACCTCAGAACCCCTACAGTGGCTAACACTAATAGAACAGGGGAAAAGGTCAATTTAAGGAAAGAATACTGCTACTCTAACATTAGTATTAAGTTGACAGATAATTGACTTTCACCTAGATTCCCTGTAGATTTAACAATTTCACTTCAAGCTCTCATACTTTTCTAAAATTTTTTCATACTTTAATGCAGTTCTAAAAGATGAGTAAAAAGAAAAGAAAAAGATGAGTCATTATTAGCTCCACCTCAAAGATGAGATGGCTAAGAAGCTAATACTCAGAATGAAACTATAAGAAGCAGAGCTAAGTATGCACAAAACCTCCCATTTTATCATCTACATGATAATTAACTTGACAATATTTGGTCATGTTAAAAGACATTTCCTCTTCTCAAACACAACAAAACCTACAACTTAAATATGAAAGAGTTTTACTGAAGAAGAATGTAAGGCTTTTACTAAGAAGCAATATAAGTCCCATTACAGTAGTACTGATAAGTTTTTCATTCTAGAGTTGACAAATATGCCACAATTTCAAAATCACTGTGTTTCAAGGATACTTCCAAAGTTACTTTTAAAAATAAAAGGAGGAAGCATAAATGAAAGTGGAGAACTTTAATGTTATTTCCACATCTAACAAAAGCTATAAGATACTTAATTACTGATAACTACTTTTAATATATTTTTTTTTTACTTCTAAGAGCTAGGAAACCAATTTGGTTGGGCCACAGTTTCCTCACCAGCAAAAGAAGGTTAGACTATGTTTCTTCTGGATCTAAGTTTGAAATCCTTTGTGAATGAATTATACATGCCAACTAAACTCCATGGTAACACCTGCCCTGCTAACAGTTTTCTTAGCACAATCATCAACATTCACCATTGAAAAAAATGCTATCAGAGCAGCAAAACTTAAAAATGGCAAGTATCAGGAGCAAAGCAACCCAGTTTATTTCCTACAAGGAATGGATTAGCTGATGGGAACAGTATTGCAACCCAAAGAAAATATGCATATCAATTTGGGAACAGATCTATATACCAAAGTCTTTAGACTGCACAGTAAACTTTAAAGAGTTTGTTTCATTTCCTCATTCTCTAATTTTAACTTGATCACTGATGTTCTAAAACCTGTTAGCCACACTCATGCAATTTTATACGAAACATGTTCAGCCATAGAGTAATAGTCTTGAATTTTATACTTTTCTAATAAGATCTTAATCTCACAACATCTGAATAATCTTTGACTTTTACCCATAAAGGTCAAGCTTTTTTTAGTTTACCATTTCTCCAAAAGAAAAAGGGGCTATAATTTACATGATGGGAGAATTGTTTTAAAAATTAAAGGTAAAGAGACTCTTAGCAGAAGTAGAGTTAGAGATGTGATTTCTGGGATAATTTTCTCAAGCCTCTCAAGATTTTTTTTGACTTCTGAATCTGGATTAATTATCCAAGCCACTAATAAAATGTTACGCAGTACAGGTCCAAACACAAATTTGGAGGACAATTCACTGGAGACTTCCTTCCAATCATTAACAATTGAGTCTAAATATTAACCCAGTTCCAAATAGCCCTAACTATATTATTGGTGCTCAAGAAGAGACTCACAAATTCTTTAATAAAAATCTAAGAGCTATACCTACAGCATTTCCTTGATCCCAGATATATACATACACATGTTTAGTCTGGCACGACCTGTTTTAGATGAAACTATGCTAGTTCTTTATAATAACTACTCCTTTGCCAAATATTTACAAACACTCATTTTAATAGGATTATAAAGTTATGAGAGGAATTGGAAGTCAAGCTTACCAGCCTACAATTTGTGTCATTCTTTCCTTTTATGAAAATTATGATATTTGCACCCCTCTAATCTCTCAATATTTCTCTAATTCTCCATCATCTTTCAAAGATGAGTAATTGAAGATGAGATTGGTTCAACAATCCCATCTGACAGCTGTTTCAGTATTTAAGGATATAGTTCATCTGGATCAATAGAGTTCACAGAAAGTCATTTAGTCCTACTCCTTCATTTGATAGACGTAAACACTAAGGCCAGCAACAGCAAGGCCCCTGTTGGGGACTTACTCAAAATCACAGATACTGTCCAAGTTGAGATTCAACCCAGTTCCTGACTGTAGAGCCAATGCTCTTTCCAATTATACCATCAATCCACTGAATTCAGCCCTAAATGTTTGCTGAATTAAATCAAATCAAGGATTAGATACTAAGTCCTAAATGGTAGCACCCCAAAGCAAACACTGTATTTCCAAAGTGGTCTGACCAAGACAGAGCAGAGTAGAGCCAACACCTCCTTACTCCTCTGTTACACTTCTTTGAATGTATGCTGATGTCACATTTGCCTTCTTGAGTACCTAGTGATTCATAATGAATTTTCAAGTGTACTAAACCACCCCCTAATCTCAACTGCTGTCTATCCATAACTCCCTTATCTTATATTCATGAAACTGATTTTCCTGAACCTAAGAAAGAGACTTTATATGAGTTCCTATTAAATTTCTTATCAAATTTAGCTTAATATTCTAGCCCAGCAGCATCAAAAAAATATTGGGGGAGGGGAGGAGGCGGCCACAATCCACATGTAAGGATCCCTGTGGGGCACATATCAATTTAGTTTTCAAATGCAATGTTATCTATGTTTTACTGCATTTTTATTTATTTTGTTAAATATTTCCCAATTATATTTTAATCTGCTTTGGGCTATAGTAGGGAGTATTGGAAGTGGGCAGGTTTGACACCTCTCTTCTAAACTGTCAATATCTTGACTTATGAATGATATTAGTTATAATTAAGGTAAATAAAAAAAATTATTAGCTGTCCTAGCAGGGAGAGCTACAAGAGATGTCGAGATGTCTCATGTCCCCCACCCCTACTGTAGCATACTGCTATAGGCTTGTGAGCTATTTCCCAAGCTCCTCAAAAATTTCTTCTTGATTTCCAGATGGTCTGTAAAATACTCAAATACTCCTCTGCTTCTGCCTCCACTCTTCTTCACTCAAATGATCTGTACCATGCTTTCTGTCCTCTGCTCCCTAGATTTCCTTAAATTCACATGTCTCTTTAATGCTACTATCACATCACTATCATGGATTCTCATTCTAAGGTTCAATACCTATAAGGTCAAATTTGTCTCCCTGCATTAGTTTCTCTAATTACTGTTACAATGTACATGATACATTTAGGAAGTACCTTGTCAATAACTAGTTTATTAAGAGGTAAAAACATCAATGTCTAGCTTTCTTTATTTAGTCATTTTTCAGTCATGTCCAACTCTTCATAACTTCTTTTTGGGATTTTCTTGGCAAAGATACTAGAGTGATTTTACATTTCCTTCTCCAGCTCATTTTACAGATGAGGAACTGAGGCAAACAGGGTTAAATGACTTGCCAATGACTTGTTAAATGACAGCTTGAAGTGTCTGAGGCTGCATCTGAACTCAGGTCTTCTTGACTCCAGACTAAGCACTCTATCCATTGTGCCAAAGGAGTCAGTTTAATGCCTTGTCTGTTTGCTGCATACTACCATGTGATAAGAACCTTGACAAAAAATATTTACTAAATTACTTAGTAAAAAATACTATTTCTATTAGGTCAATCAACAAACATTTATTAAGCGTCTACAAAAGACTGTGCTAGACACTGGAGATACAAACACCAACAATGAAATAATCCCTACTCTCAAGGATCTTATATTAAATAAATATTTATATAATGTAAAAAGTATGGATGGTTTCAACTATAACATCAGGTGATATTATACTTATTACTCAAGTGATTCAGACCAGAACAGTAAGCATTCATAAAAATAAATTTGGAAGTGGGTAGAGCTGGTTAAAATATGAGGTTTTGAAAATGCCAGATTGCTAGTAATTAGGTAATGATTATAATTTATTCCAACATAAATAAAAGTATTCTCAACTCCCACACAACTTCAGCAACCATTGCCAGATTAAATGTTTATATATCAAACAGTCTGAGGCATACACACATAAGTTAATGCCATTCAGGCTAAAGTGGCTAACTAGTTCAGTCCTGCCTGATAAACTGTTACTTGGGAAAACAGTGAGGGCCCAGATTTTCACAATTGCCCAGATTTTCACAATTTATCAGCTTTAAATTTTAAAAGATTCAAAATGGCTAAGTAACTTTAGCACAGGGAACAAATGAATACTAAAATCAGAAATCAGAGAAAGCTTTAATAATTCAGAGTTGGTCCTAACTATAGTAGTTGACTAATTGCCATTAATTTACTTATACCAATCTACTCAATCTCAGCAACTCCTGAAAGCCAGCCAGTGGTCACTGTTAAATATTCCATGAAAAACTAATGTCATAACTCCAAATTTTAATCTTTGAAATCTTTTGACTGTCATCAACATGTCTCATCAGGCAATGCCCAGGCAAGTCTAAACAATTTGAAATGGAACTTCAAGTAAGAGTTGCAAAAGCATGTCTTCTTCCTAAATGCAAATGCAAAGAAACCAAAAAAGCAAGGGGGCAACTAGA